AACAGCAGAGCTATCTCAGCCGAGAGGCTGCTTGTTTATATATTGGGGTAATTTTAGTAGTTTTGAGAGAGTCTGGGAAAATGCCTTGGCTCAGTGAACAATTGATAATATGTGCGAGAGGATGAGAGATTAGGTGCGCAGCGTCTCTTGCTAGTTTTGGGTGAATGCTGTCATGTCCAATAGATTTTTTTCGGGTCAAGGGAAATAATTTCTTTAAAAACGTCGATGTCGTTTACAGGATGAAAGAAGAAAGAGTTTAGAAAATTGCCAGTGAGGTAATCATTGAAATCACCAGAGCTAGTAATTCGAGCGGCAAGATTTGGACCGATATTAACAAAGTGGTCATTGAACTCATCTGCAATATCTGAACTAGTGGTCAGTATTTTGCCAGAATCGCCTGAAATTAATTTCTGTGGAACAGTTGAATGATTAGACTTATTAAGGACTTTGTTGACCACTTGCCATGTTTTGTTGCTATTTCCGCGGTGTGCTGAAAATTTGTTTGAATAATACCATTTCTTGGCCAATTTTAGTAATTTAGTTAACAAGTTTCTGTAGGTTTTATATTTATTTAACAAATTAATATCAGTTGGTTTTGTTTTTCAATTTGCCGAATAATTTATGTTTGATTTTGAACGATTTAAGGAGACCTTGGGATAGCCAGGGTTTTTGAAGAGATTTAGATTTAACGTGAATGGTTTTAATTGGAAGATGTTTAGATGAAATACTGTAGTAAATATCATAAAATAATGTGTACGCGACATTAGGATAGGTACAATTATAAACTGACTGCCAAGATGCATCACTTAAGTCGGTCAAAAAACGGTCTTTATTATAGTAGGAAAAGTCGTATTTCTGAACATGATTATCCGTCTGAAACACATGATTAAAGCGTTCAATGACACCAAATATGGGGTAGTGGTCAGTAATATTGGTTTGAATAGTACCACAATCGAAGAAATAATTTGTAATGTTAGTAAGGAGGTGATCGATGGTCGTGCTTGTGTTGTCAGTGACGCGTGTTGGGATGTTAATTACCTGGGTAAAATTGTAAGTACTTGTTAATGTTAGATATTGGGAGGCAGATGGTGAATCTGAAGAGGTGTCAATGTTCACATCGCCAAGGATAATGCATTCATTACCACTAGCAGATCATTGTATACAATCAGTTTCTATTCTACAAATTTTTTGTTGTAAAATTTAATTTGACAATGCTTATTCGGAGCTCCCTTGTATTTACCGTAGTATGTAATGGTATGTATTATTTCAATAATTCTTTGTGAATTTTGGATCAAATAGATATACTGCTCCATTGGTTAAGGACATGCTTATAATTTTTGAAAGTTAAATATTGAAACATTTATTCAGGTTTATTTGATGAAAGGTGTCATAATTAAGTTGACTTTTGCACTCAAAGGGTTAAGCAAAATTAAATCCTTCTCACTTGAATGCTGTTCATAAGGTAAACGAAGTTGTAAATGTTTTTTTGTTTTGTGGTGCATCATTCTTCTCAGCATCTATTGACTGTTGTCTTGTACACTGAGTTTGGCCATGTCAGATTCAAGCTTATCGTCAGATGAATCTGTAAAGAAAAAATAGAATTTAAACTAGTTATTTGTCAATGACATATTCTGTTTGTACATGACTGAATTAACATAAAACTAGTTTTATTGAAATCAATCTATCAATCAATCCATGCATATTAATTACCAAATTAGCTGATTTTTAGCTGTTCCATGACTGTTCCACTCATATCAAAAGAACCACTCATTGGATTTTGATGAAACTTGGCACATAAATGCTCTGAACTAATGCGCAGATTTGATTAGTTTTGGATAAAATCTGTGCAATATTAATTACCTAATTTGCATAATGATTAATCAGTTTTTGGCTTTTCCACTGATATCTGAATTACGGTACTAATCATCACATTTCAATAAAACTTGGTACATAGATGTCATAGGACACTGCACGGACCTGATAGTTTTTAGTGTAATATCAGTACATATTAATTACCTAATTTGCATAATTAATTTTCAGCTTTTGATGTTTCAAGTAGTAATCATCACATTTCAATGAAACTTGGCACATAGATGTCATAGGACACTGCACAGACCTGATAGTTTTTAGGGTAATATCAGTACATATTAAATACCTAATTTGCATAAATAATTAATTTTCAGCTTTTGATATTTCAAGTAGTAATCATTACATTTCAATGAAACTTGGTACATAGTTACTTAAGGACTGTGCAGAGACCTGATTAGTTTAGGGGGAAATATTTGTGCATATTAATCACCTTATTAGCATAATTAGTTAGTTTCAACTTTTCGCCTGATAATCAAGTACTGATCATCATATTTCAATGAGACTTAGTACATTAATCCTCTAGGACTATGCAGAGACCTGATTAGTTTTAGGGTAAATAATTACATAATTCGCATAATTAGTTAATTTTTTCCATGAATGTTCCACTGATATATAAAGAACCACTAATTGGATTTTAATGAAACTTTTATAGAGTATCCATCATCACTTTTCAATGAACCTAGGACTATGCAGAGACCCAATTAGTTTTTGGTAAATATTTATGCTTATAAGTACCTAATTAAAATAATTAATTAACAGTGATATCTCAATTACTGATCATCACATTTAAATAAAATTTGGTACATAAATGCTCTAGAACAATAGACAGGCCCGATTAATTTTGGGTTGAAATTTGTTCATATTAATTCTCTAATAATGATTCATAGTTTTTTGTTCTAATCACATTTCAATGAAACTTGGTACATAGATATTACAATATGCAGACCTTATTAGTTTTACACTCAAATCTGTTCATATTAGTTACCTGATTTACATAATTAGTTTTCAGCTTTTCCATCAATATCTCAAGTACAAGTAATTTTTAATTAATTTTTATTGTGTTCTCAATACTCTCAGGAGTTCTTTCTAAGCTTTCTTTGATTCTCTTTATTTTGGGCTTTATCCAACTGGAATTAATAACTCAGTAATTATTTTATTTTAATGACATCAAATTTGGGGTTCTAATAATTTGTCGACAAACACATTTCAGTTGCACATGTTCATATTTGAGATACAGTTAATTATTATTTCTATTTCATACTAACCAAGGTTTGCAAGGGTTGTCCATGTTTTTTTCTCATCTCCTTTTGGTTCTGCAGTTGCTTGTGTTGTGCTGTTTGAAATATTTGTCCACAACTTCTCACTACTGTCATCTGGGGTAGCAATTCTGCTACTACCACCACTACTTCTACTACTTCTGCCGCTACTGCTGCTGCTGCTGCTACTATCACTGTCACTGTCACTGCTGCTGTCACTGCTGCTGCTTGAGCTGCTAACAAAGCTTCGACGCTGCTGCTCTTGATGGCTTGGTGCATCTAAGGGCATCCTGGTTCTTCCCTTGGAAGATTTAGGTCTACTTCCCACAGTTGTATTCCATGGTGTTGAATCCTTAGAATTGGAACTAGTAGTTGACCTTGCACTTTGAGGCACATCTCTTGAACTGTTGCTCGTACCCGATGACTTGGTATCTCTCGGAGTCGGCCTGCTCATTCTGCCACTTTGACTACGTCTGGCACTAAAAAGGAATCAATGCAAAGACTATATTATTATACATTATACTTTTATAAATTTAGGCCTAATTTTGGTACTACACATTTATGATTTGTAAAATAATCATTATGTAACATTTTTGATAACATGAAAAATGCCAGGAATAGTACTGATACTGATACGGGTAGTAATGATACTAATGGACTAGTATGTACTGTAATCTTGGTAGTACATGTCTCACACCTCAGACTAGCAGAGATACTGATGGACTAGTATGTATTGTAATCTTGGTAGTACAGGTCTCACACCTCAGACTAGCAGAGATACTGATGGACTAGTATGTACTGTAATCTTGGTAGTACATGTCTCACACCTCAGACTAGCAGAGATACTGATGGACTAGTACATGTATATATTGTAAGCTT